TCTCAGGCTACCTCCATTAGAGGTACGAAGAAAATATTTTCGCCTTCTACTATTTTTCAAGATCCTAAATGGGCACTCCCCACTTTCTCGATTGAGTCTAATCCGGTTAGATACAGCAAGAAGATCAGACAGGTTAGCACAACACTCAAGACAGGTAGAAGTTTCTTTTGCTCGAACGGAGACTGTTTTACAATCCTTTTTATACCAAAGAGCGCGAGATTGGAATCAAACTCTATCAAAACCAGTTGTCTCATCTACCACTATTAGAAGTTTTAAAATAAAATTAAGGCATCATCTCCAACTATGAAAATGGTAGCAAGGTTTATAGGTGCATCGCACTTTTTTTGCTTTCCCGGTAACCGGTTTTTGATGTAGATTAAAGGTTTCCTATTGCTGAAAAATAGTTCGACACGTTGTCGAACATTTTGTTTCAGATAGATAGAAATGGACATTGATTAATTTTTATTTAACTAGTTAAGTTCAGCGATTTTGCATTAAACTCATTATGACCGAAATTTTTCTTCTGCAGAAAAGTAAATCAACACTTGGACTAAAAGACATCGCTTTCATTTCGTTCGCTAGCGAAAAACATATAATTTAGCTTCAGATTAAATTGAATTGTGCAACTGATAATATAAAACGAAAATTTCTTCTATTCTGTGACCAGAACAGATTTTTCGCTTTCGTTCTCTTCCGACAAATAAGAGAAAAAAAAGAGACGAGAGGCGATATTCATCTATATAAAAAAATATTCTACGCGTAGAATATAGTCTACGTCAACGTTCTACGCATTCTATTATTTTTAAAAAGGCTAAAGGTGACCGTCGAAAAATCTGTTCATCAAATGGCAGGATGTTCTATCGCACAGATGATGCGACGAGAATTTGTTTGAAATCAATATCTTTCGAGGAAACCTCTCGAAGTGATAAATCGCTTTTTGGTATAATATATTTGGTTTGATATAATCGCTTTTGATAAAAAGTATTTTTATTAAATAGGCCTTGGTGAGTAATGAAAGAGCGTAAGAGTATTTGATTTTTTAGGCGTTTGGTACGAAAATATTGAGTTTCCAACGAGTTTCTCGTAATTTTTACTGGTTTTGTAACTTTCCTGTTGCATTAGTCTTATAAAGAACTCTAATCTCATAAAGTTTCGGATGATTTCGCTATAAAACAGCGAAAGTCACGAACAACTCGTCAGAAATTCAATATCTTGACACCAAACTGGGATTATCATTAAACATACAGATACATGAATCTAAATATAAACGAATCACTAAATATGCATGAACCAAGCTATATAGATCAATAAAGTAGGGAGATGGTCTTGGGTATTTTAGATTGGCCCGACATCATAAATGTCAGAATTTTGGCTAATTTGAAAACGTATACTGTTGAAAGAGTATACGTAGTGTGCGTTACCCGATCTGTCTATTCAAAGTTACTGATAAATGTAGGCATACATCCTTTGTAGACATTCGTCGTTTCTAGATATTCTTCTTCTCTAGACATTCATGCTTTGTAGATATTCATCCTTTCGAGAGATGATGAATGTCTAGAGTGGATGAATATCTAGAAAGGATGAAGGTCTGCCTACAAAGGATGAATGTCTAGAACGCACACAGACTGATGTACATATTGTGTAGAGGAAGTTAGCCAAAATGCTATAATTCTGACATCCCTCCCCGACATACAGATACTTTATGTTCATAAGCTGCTTCTTTTACGCAGCATTATTGTTGGCCACGCCGCTGCATACTTGCCTTTCTATATCCAGCATAGAGATCTAATACCAAATAATTTGCTTAAACTTGTAACACAAGTTTTAACTACTTGTATGGAAAGAACGACCTGTCCGTCATAGCCGAGTACTAGACTCTGCTATAACGGACAAGTCGTTCTTTCCATACTCTCTTCAGCAATGATCAGCGCTCCCTCAAAATTTAAAAAGATACTTCATAAATATTCAAGAAAGAACTTCTCATCACTACGAATGTAACTTTTCATACTTTCGTGTTTTTAATATACCGAGACACATCGACGTGTTATACAATAGACTAAGAAGTAATTTCTTCACTTTGAAAGCAGACTTATACAAAAGATCTCCATCAACGAATGATGTGTGCAAGTGTGGGAAAAATGTAACATCGCAGCATTATGTTCTAGAGTGTGCGTTATTCCGCTAGCAGCGTCTTATTCTCTTAAACACCATCTCAGCAATAGAACCAGCCCTTACATTTAGTCTTGATTTACTACTGTTAAATGTACGCCACTCAAAAGTAGAATATACATCGATCTATCGTGCAGTTAAATTTTATTTGTACAACAAGAAGATTTGAAGAAGACTAGTGTGTCCCTATTTATTTTATTTTTTTACCATTGTCTCCTTCAACCGTCTTTCTTTTTCTTTTACCCTGGCTCTCTCTCTTTCTCTCTCTCTGTGTGTGTGTGTGTAATATGGTTCGTGTATATGTTCTCTTTATTATCTCCAGTACTTTGTTTCTTTTCTTTCTTCCATTCAATTATACATTTGTTTTTCTTCTTTTACTTAGCTGCTTAATCTTTTTTAAATTGATCTATGTTTCCTGTGTCACCGTCAGTAATAATGGGGACTCGTTCTCTCCTTTGCTGGACATAAGTACATGAATTTCTTAGTTTCAATAAATAGCTTATAACATCTATTATAAGCGATCCATCGATGCTTTGGCACGATAGTAGGGAGACGAAGGCTGTTGTGCTAGTCTTTATTAACACTAAATAGACTATAGCATGAAACAGGGATTATAGCATGTGAAGAAGTGCTGCAGAAGTAGATGTGCTCGCGTGCTTTGTATCAGATGCATTTTTTGATTGATGGTATGCAAACTCACTAATAAATATTAAAAAAAAAGTGAAGTCACATATACTACTTTTGATGAGTTGATTGCTTTTTGTCGATATCTACATCTAATCCCTTGTTTTCGTTAACTTGCAGTATTTATATGCCGCTTCCCAATCAAACTTTCATTGAAAAAATCAAGGTAAGCAATCCAGTATAAACGAATGCAGGATACTTTAGCTGTTATACACTGCGTTCTTAATTGTTTTATAATACTGTCGACAACCTTATTGTTTGCTGAACCGATCTCGCATACCGTTCTTATGATTTTTGTTAATAGACACCGCTAAATCGTTGTTTACTATCATCGATATTTTCAAGATGCGAAGCACCGGTCTTTTCACCATTATGGTTTGTCTTATTTGTGCCGCAAACTTCCAGTATTCCATGGCGGAAGCCGTTGAAAGTCGTGCAGCACCGGTTAATACCATGCTGACAGGTCTTGCTGATATTCTTCGAAAGGCCGGTCTCAAAGTTGTCGAAGTTGCCGGTTGGAAAACTCGTGGTCATGGTGTAATGAGCTCTGTGAAAGGCATTATTTGTCATCATACGGCAGGTGCAAAGACAGGTGATTACCCCTCGCTGGCAGTAGTTCGAGATGGTCGTCCAGACCTCAAAGGTCCAATTGCACAACTCGGTTTAGGTCGCACTGGAACTTGGTATGTTATTGCAGCTGGAAAAGCTTGGCATGCGGGCAGTACCAAAGATGATTCGATCTATGGAAATTCAAACGCAATTGGTATTGAAGCCGAAGGAGTTGGTCTTCCAGCTACTGATACTGGTCACAAGAACTGGCCGGAAGTACAATATCAGAGCTATATCAAAGGTGTCAAAGCTCTTCAAAAAGCTTATGGTGTGGCCACTGCCCGCGTGTTGGGACACAAGGAAGCAGCGGTGCCTAAAGGCCGCAAGATCGATCCCAACTTTTCCATGGCTGAATTCCGCGCTGCGCTCAACAAGTAACTGACTTTGTTTTTGATATTTTAATCTAATATACGGTAAGATGCATTGATCATTTTTTAATTAAAAAGTTCAGTTGTAATAAAAATGGTATAAAACAGATTTGAAAAATATTATGAGCCATGAGAGAGTGTTTGCGACTGCAATGCTTTCAGTACATTGTCAAACGGAACAGAAATGCCTTGTTTCTCAAAGGAAGATATCATGCATGCCAATTCATAGCGGATCGCTACGATCAAAAAAGAGTAGTATACGGTGCTTGTCTTTGGATTCGTATGTAATATGTAATAGTCAACGTTTTCGATATAACTTTGGCAAGGTGAGGGACGTTTTTTGGAGCAACTCTAAAAATTTAGCTGATAACCAAAAAAAAGGCTTTAACTTTTCGAAGTAATTATTTTTTTCATAGGAGTAAATTTTTTAAAATGAACGGAGTAATTATTTCAAGTAAGGTGGGGGAGATTTCCCCACCTAATCGAAAATGCTGGTAATAGTAACCAAGTGTTTTATGAAAAAAAATCATGGCACAATCTTTTCTCGCACCTTACATGTCATTCGATGGAGGAATGAAAGGGCTTCAATTTAATATTCAAATCGACTAAATGTGTAAGTAAATAGGAGCATATATATGTTATACAGGAGCATTCTCGCTGATTGAATGATGAAAGAAAACGTGTTAAAATAGTCCGATTTAATCCCAACAGGTAAATAACTTATAATGTACTCTTTTTTATTCGATCAGTAATTAGAGATTCAAAAGTAAGTATATGTGGCTTCACTAATCTTTTATTTTTGTTAGCGAGTGTGCATATCATCAATCAAAAATGCACCTGATGCAGAGTACATCTACTTCTGCAGCACTTCTTCACATGCTATAATTCGTGTTTCATGTTACTAGTAGTATGTAGACTACATAGAGAGAATACTTATTTCTCCTCTCAGAAAACAGCTGGAGAACTCGGGCTAGACTTAAAATATAAAATGAACTTAGAGTACTAACGTAACAGAGCCGGAGTTTTGAGTTTTTGTTGGTTTTATTTTCAGGAAAATATCATCTAAAAGGTTAGAAAAGAGCGCAAAAACTGGCATATAACTTTCAACAACGTAAAAGAATGACGGCCTAAATCAAAAATTAGGCTCCGTTATGTTGTTCCCATATGTCTTAGCTTTAGTTTAAGATCAATCCGAGCTCTCTAGCGCTTAGTTTGACGGAGAAACCTTTCCGACAGTGTTTATCACATAGCAAAAAGTCGCTTTTGAGATACAGTGACACTAGTGTACGATACACGTTTCAGAGCTCTTAATAAAACTGTCATAACTTTTGATCAAAGCATTGCTTGGTGCTGGGAGACGTCTCGTTTTAACCATAAATGTATACTCTACGAGCTGGAGTCACTAGAATCCTTTTTGATTCCGGCATTTCATAGAAATACCAGAATTGCCTTAATCGTCAAGTTGTTTAAAAGAAATATCATATTATTACGTGCAGAAATTTTGATTAGTTCTGTTTCAGCCCTTTTGAGACGTCTGAAGAATACATCAAGGTCTTGAGGGCTCACTATGTTCGCACTCAGTATATTTTCAGGAATGCCCCGATACTTCGGAGGCATGGGAGCGGCGAAGTCAATTTTAAGGTCAATTTTTATGCTTTTAAAAATTGGAGTAAAACTGAAAAAAAAAGATAAATATTTTAAGCAGTTTTCTTCTAAAGCAAGCCTGAATTTTCATCTATCTAGCTCTATTTACTTCAACACAAAGCCTTATAATATAAAAATACATTGAATGAAGCCATGGTACAAGCTATTCTACTTTTCTTATCTTATTTATGTACTTAGGGCTGCCCAAAAGTTCTACAATCGTTAAATAAAGATGCAAAGATGAAGAAAAAGTTTCAGTTTTATTTTATTAAATGTTCAAAATAGTCGCCATGATTATTTATACAAAGTTCCATTCTTTCCAAAAATTTGTCAAAAGTTTTTTTAAACTCTTCTTCTGGAATATTTTTCACTATCTTGGAAACCGCATGAACCAATGATTTTTCATTTCCTTGGTCAGTTAAATTACGCTTGATGCAATCATTTAGCCAATAATCACATGGCGCAAGGTCATGTGAATATGGTGAATGCGGCATTATATTGAGGTATTCTTCTGTTAAATAATTTATAACATCGAGATGAGTATAAGACCGAGCATTGTCGTGAAGCAATTTTATACCTCTTGCATCCGATGAGATTGATTCACAAATCTACTAACACAAGCTGAGTTGGCGAAGTATCTCGTTGACAACAAGCTTGTGGCAATATTCTATATAATAGTTGTGATTTATAGTCTTGCCTCTATCAACAACATGTACACGAACATGACCATTTGATTTAAAGAATATATAAAATAAAGTTTTGGATTCAAATCTACTTCGACGAAAAATAGTGGTAGGTGATTCATCTTCGCCAACCCAGCTTGTGTTAGTAGACTTGTGATCAATCTGCCTATGGTAAATCCATGTCTCATCACCTGTAATTATATCACATAACCGCCAGGGGCCATCACGAAATTTCGCCAAATTTTCACGACAAAATCTAACTCGTTCTTGCTTTTGTACATCATTAAGTTGATGAAACACCAAACATGATGTAACTTTTCTCATCTGTAAAGAGTCGTGGATAATTCTTTTCAATCGTGTCATGAGAGAGAATGTCAGTCATTCTCGATGCTGTTGAATTTCTAGTTCTGCTTCCTATACGGCAACAGGAATGTTAAGTGTATTGAATTATCTCTGTTTATGACTGAGTAGTTTAATTGCTGTTGAACGTGTATCGATTCAATGCTTCAATGCGAGTGTAGCACTGCACGAACGATCGGAAGTATGGCTATGGGTATCCTAAAGAGCGAGAGGCCGTGGATGCCATCATTAGGCTTGACTTCGTCGCCTGATTAAGCATATGTGATTGATTTTATTTGGAAACTGCTTTGAAGGCAAAATACTGAATTTTTTATTTAAAATCATTCAGAATGACACCATAAGTTTTCTATTAAAAACTATAGCTCTCAAGGATGAACTAATTTTTTCTTTTTAATGCCAGAATTTGTTGTGAGAATGTAAGAACGTCTTTCTACAAGTGGCTTGTTGTTTGAAAGTAAGCTGATAGCGATATACTACTTTTATTAACCAGGGTATTTGTGAAGAACTACATTTTCTTTAAAACTATTCTCCGTCATAAACAACGTATACAAAATACAAATGATGTATTAGCAGCAGAAAAACGTTTAAAAGCGGAAATAATTGAACGTAGAAACTGATTGGAAATTCAGATGACATATAGTTGTATTGGCAACACAACGTTTAATAACCGATATACCTGAAAGTTAACAGAAATATTTACGATCATAACTATCATACAAAGAAGAAATTGGACACGACGGCACTTGAACAATGTCAATTTATCATTTATCAAATAATCCACAAACACATCCAGATGTAGTTTCAAAAATGTTTACAATATCAAATATTTTAACGTCAACATTAACTGGTAATACTACATGGAGAAATGAAGCTCGAATAGATCTAAAACAATTATGTCCTGAGAGTTTTCTAACATTTCAGGCAGAAATGCCATAGCCGCTGTCTATCTCTCGCAGCAGGTTAAGTGCTACTTCCTTCTAAGATGCCAAAAAGAACCACATGAAGAATACGTTTTGGGCAGTCAGCAAGTTGATGTTGACCGAAACTTACGCTATTGGAATGGCAGATAATTCCAAATTACCACACAAGTGATTATCGTTTATCATAG